ACTTTTTCTGTCAATCATTTAGCTTTTTTTTTTTGAACATTTTGTCCTGAATTCGACTCGAACTATTGTCATAAACGAGGAGGATATGAACCTTACAAGCGTGGCTAGAACCACTTGGCCCGAAGGGTCAGGTTCTGTCAATCATTTAGCTTATTCACCATGTTCGGTTAAATTTTCATTTTAATCCTTTTATTTTGGTAAAAAAAATCTTTTTTTAAGTCTTTTTACTTAAAAAAACTTTTTTTTTATCCTTAAAATTTGAACACTAACTCCTTTTTAATCCATCTGTTAAGTTTTACATATATAATATGTTAGATAACAAAAATTTTAAAGTAAATGGATCAAAAAATGACTAACAAAAGGTTAAAAATAACCCCAATTTGATTTCTACTTTGAAAAAAAAGCCTTTTTTTAGTCACATTTCTTTAAAATTTTTATCATCTAACATCAAAATTTAATAAAGGAACAAAAAAATCGTTGGATTTCAAATTTTAGGAATCAAAAAAAGATTTTTTTTTAAAAATAGATAGACTAAAAAAAAACTTTTTATCAAAGTAGAAGGGTCAAATTGAAGTCTTACCCATCATGTTATCATAGTATCGTGTGTTAAGAGGTTGCATAGCCCTAAAACTCCTTTAACTGTTTGTTTTTAAAATCATTAGTTCCTTAGTATATATTTTTGTATATTTTGATATATACACTTTTATGTTGTTGTGTAATTGACTTAAAATAAATAGATTTATGTATGTTTTGGTTGAAATTTTTTTACTTTTATTAATCTAAATGGATTATATTTATACTAGTATGGTATTGATAAATATGATAATAAAGTAAAAATGTTATATGACTCACCGTAATAAGATTTTGTGTATTTTATGTCAATTATAATAATAATGGGAAGTTTACAGATTAAAATATACGTAGTATACATTAAATGTTAATTGTCTCAAAAACAAATAGGTAGTGAGTTTCAACTTTCAAGAGTTGAACTTTAAAGAGATTAGTTTTTTCCTTTTTTGGAATGCAGGTGTTAAGAGATTAATGACTTTTGTGAATAAGAGATTTTTTTGTTGGATCTTGGAGTTTTTAAGTTTGAGTTTTTATTATTTAATTTTGAGATGAGGAGGGAGAATTTATTTATTTATTTTTATAATTTATCATTTAATTGTATTAAAAAATTAGTATTTTTTTTTAAAGAATAATGTTATAGTTATAATATTATATAAAATTATAAATATTGTAATTGTATAATATGATATGTCATTCATAATTAGTTGCTTTTATTTAAGAATTAATGTATAATATTATATGAGATTAGTACATATCAGTTTTAACTTCTAAAAAAATTAAAATTCTAACTTATATTTAAAAACTAAAATTCTAATTCAAAATTTAAAAATCTTATCAGTTTTTAAATCTAAATATCAATATTTAATAAGGTAAATTTGTAAATTTTGAATTAAATTTTAATTAACTAAAACAACATAATTTAATATTGAAACTCTAATTTTTTTTTAGAGTCAAAACTTATGTGTACTTTTACCATATTATATATATCCAATTGTTTCATATCATATTATATTTTATTTAATATTATATAAAATTATAATTAATGACATTTTATTATAAATTTATAATATTATATAATATTATAACCATAAATTTTACCTCCAAAATAATGAGTTTTGGCTTGAGCCTAATGTAATGCACTAGTGATATTACAATCACTCACAAGCCATTGTCATTTATACTTTTTAGTTTATAGTGAGTAGAAAAAAAAAAGTGTTTTGTATAAAGTTAATACGTATCTTTAAATTTTTCTTAATTAATGGTAGTACGGTTTTTTTAGGTAAATGATAATATGTTTTTAGTATTTAATATTTAATATTTAATATTTTTGATAAAAAATATTATAATTATAATGTTATGAAATATGATAAATTTATAATATAATATATTATTATATAATTATTTATTTATATTAAAAATTTTACCTATAGTATTTAATGTGTTAATTCTTTTAATACCACTTAAAATTATAAATTTACAATTTTATTTAATAACATCATAACCATACTATCTCGTTTTTGACAAATTCCGTTCACTGATCTAAAGTTATAAGCTTTAACCCTCGATCTGACGACAAAAACTAATTATTGGCTCTTTACTTTATTAAATTTATAAATTTTAGCTTTTTATTTTATATTATAACATTTTTAGTTCCTCATAAATTATAATTAAAGAAAATAATCTTTAATTTATAATATTTCATTAGTTTTATTAATTAATTATTAACTTTGTTAATTAAAAATAAGTTTTTACCAATTAATAATCAATTAACAGTTAACTAATAGAGTTAACAATTCGTTAACAAAATTATTTTATTAATTAATTGTTAACTCTATTAATTAAAAGTAAGTTTTTACAATTAATAGTTAATTAATAATCAATTAATAAAATTAATATTTAACTAACAAAATATTATAAGTGAGATCAATGGCCTATTAGTCCGAGTAGAAGGAGTTCGGTTCTCCTTAAGTAAGGTTTAGATTTCAAGTCTTGTAAATAGAAAAACAGACACCGGGAGAGCTTCCCCTTGATAAGGTTCGACGTGTTTTGATCTCATATTAATCAGGATCCAATGTGATTACTAAATAAGATATTAAAAAAAATATTATAAGTAAGGATTATTTTTTTTTAATTTTAACAAATAAGAAATTAAAAATATTATATTATAAAAGTAGAGTTAACACGTATAAATCCTAATAATAAGGTGAATGGTTAAAAATAGGGTTTTCAGCCATTTTACGTAGTGAAATTGGTATACTGTAGCATTGTGGTTTTGACAAATTCCTTCCGCTTGATCTGAAGTTCCAGGCTTTAACCCTCAGTCTGTTTGGCTTTGGGAACAAGAAAGCACCTTCAATAAAGAAAAATCAATCTCTCTCCGCACGTCAACCTCTCTCACTCTCACGCATCCTTCGACAATGGGACAAGGCACACCCGGCGGCCTGAATCGGCAGGGCGGCCTTCCTGGGGACCGCAAGAACGACCCAGATAACAAGAAGGACAAAAAGTTCGAGCCTGCTGCCCCGCCCTCGCGCGTCGGCCGGAAGCAGCGGAAGCAGAAGGGTCCCGAAGCTGCCGCTAGGCTTCCGACCGTAACCCCACTCACCAAATGTAAATTGAGGCTCCTCAAATTGGAACGCATCAAAGATTACCTTTTGATGGAAGAAGAATTCGTGGCCAATCAGGAGAGATTGAAGCCGCAGGAGGAGAAGAATGAGGAGGATAGATCCAAGGTGGACGATTTGCGTGGTACTCCGATGAGCGTGGGAAATCTAGAGGAGCTCATTGATGAGAATCATGCCATCGTTTCTTCTTCGGTGGGTCCTGAGTACTATGTGGGTATTCTGTCGTTTGTGGACAAGGACCAGCTGGAGCCTGGATGTGCCATCCTGATGCACAATAAGGTTTGTTTGGTTATGAGGAATTGATTGATATTGTTAATGCTAGTAAGAGTAATGTTTGGGAATCAGGGGCTTCAAAGTGAATTTATTGAGCTGAAATAGCAATGTACAATAGGTTTTGAGGGAATTGTTGGGAAAATCCGAGTTAAATTGCTGATGCAGATGTTTTTACTTGGCACTGAGAAGTATAGTGATGAAGATTATACACTAATATTTTTATACACAACAAAATTAAAATGCTTGGGTTTGGAACCTTTGATAGTTACCGGGCGCTGCCAAAAGTATGATGGACTTGTGTGAGGCTTGAAAATGCCACTTCAATGATGATAGGAGTTGGAAAGTTGGAGTAATTTTTCAAAGTAACGGTGGAATGTGAGGAAGTAGCATTTGTCTTCTGTTATTATTTTGGGATTTAGACCTAAGCTGTGGAAGTTTGGTTCTTTTATGAAGTTGTGAACTTTACTACTCTCATTTGAAAAAGAGCTTGTGCAATATGTCTTAAACCTAGTATTTAAGCCATCATTATGCTTCTTTTAATATCTTTGTATCAACGAGGATTGAGCCTCTTCACTCTTTTCCTCTTTTGTTATATTTTTTTATCTTTCTATTCTGCCAATTTACCATAGGTTAAATTTGGATTTCTTTTATCTATGTAATGGAAATCTGGTTTGTATTGCATTCAGGTTCTTTCTGTGGTTGGGATACTTCAAGATGAGGTTGATCCCATGGTGTCTGTAATGAAGGTTGAGAAAGCTCCTCTGGAATCTTATGCTGACATTGGTGGGTTGGATGCCCAGATACAGGAAATTAAAGAAGCAGTGGAGCTTCCTCTTACACATCCTGAATTATATGAAGATATTGGGATTAAACCCCCTAAAGGAGTCATACTCTATGGTGAACCTGGAACAGGAAAAACATTGCTTGCAAAGGTGCATGCTCTCTCTATTTCTTTGTTTGTGCATGAGTTTCATTGTTCTTGGTCATTGTGTCCAGCTGTGTTTTAGCGATTACATATAGAATGGAAAAGTTGGTGCTAGTTTGCAGTGAATTTAATTTCTGTTTTTAATTTTAGATTTCACACAATAAGTTTTTTATAGTTTTGTTGCTATAGGTGGAGCACACCATTGCCTTCCATTGTGTGATCCTGTTGCTTTACACTATCTGGCAATATATAAAGAACTTTGCAAATGAAGAAGATTAAATTTTTAACATATACATAGTAATTTCTAAACTTCAATGCATGATTAAAAGTTTTAGCATTCTTCATATAGGTTTGCAACTTTTTGCATAGTTGCATTAATTGTTAAAGGGGAAATTTTCTGATTGACCCCTAGTTTTAGCATTCTTCATATAGGTTTAATGACGTGCCTTTGGTCTGGTGAGGTGAAAGAGGAAAATTTCCTATCAGGATTGTAGTTGCAGGGATCAAACCGGTAGTTAAATTCCCTGTCTTTACATACCTTTTGACAAGTAAAGAACTCCTATTCTTTATTGGTTCTGGTCAGGTAACAAAAAATAATTGAATTGACCAAATTGTTTGAATATTTTTAGGCCTAGATCAATGAGGTCAGGTAAAGAAAGGCATTAAATCATTTTCTTTGTATAACCATTGGCATCCAGCTTGTTCAGCTTTTCTTAAATTTATGCATTTGCTAGATTACAGGATACATGTGTGCTACATAAAGATGAAGGGATACTTTAATTGCATATTTTGGCCAGTTGCATGAAATCCATTTGTTTTTTGCAGTTAAAATAGGTATCAACCAGATTCTAATGTTCTACAGACAATTGTTTTATATATTCCTTGCTCCAGGCAGTTGCAAATTCAACAGCAGCAACTTTCTTGCGTGTAGTTGGAAGTGAATTGATACAGAAGTACTTGGGAGATGGCCCAAAATTAGTCAGAGAACTCTTCAGGGTTGCAGATGAGCTATCACCATCAATTGTCTTCATTGATGAAATCGATGCAGTTGGCACAAAGAGGTTCATTTCTTAGCATGATTGCCTTGAATGAAATGTATTATAGGCAAATTATTAGAGGCAACCATTGATCATGGACTTCTCTGATTTAACTTTTTTTCCCAGGTATGATGCACATTCAGGTGGTGAACGTGAAATTCAAAGAACTATGCTGGAACTGCTCAACCAGTTAGATGGTTTTGATTCAAGAGGTGATGTCAAAGTAATCCTTGCTACAAATAGGATTGAAAGTCTTGATCCTGCTCTGTTACGCCCTGGACGAATAGACAGAAAGATTGAGTTTCCTCTTCCTGACATCAAAACTAGGAGACGCATTTTTCAGGTATTTAGAGGAGATTATTGACAAGGAATGTATAGTTATTATATCTATCTTTTATTTTAATTATTTTATTCCTCTTATGTATTTGTCTTTTTTACAGATACATACATCCAGGATGACATTAGCTGATGATGTCAATTTAGAAGAGTTTGTAATGACCAAGGATGAGTTTTCTGGGGCTGATATCAAAGCAATTTGCACAGAGGCTGGCTTGCTTGCTTTAAGAGAGCGTCGTATGAAGGTGACAAATTCTTACTTGAAAATCATTTGAAATAAGCTAGTCCTGTATACTTTTGCTTTGAAATTTTTTACTTAATTTACTCTCTCCATGGCATCTGCCTGATAAATTATTGCTGCAAAGCACTTAGGTTGTTCTGAATACGAGTTCATATGCTTGAAATTTTGTTCTTGAAAAGCTTCTTGAATGTGATTATTATGTTATCCACTTTAGAGACCTGTATGCTAATATAACAATATGATAAGGAAGATAGTGCTGTCATGGAAAATTTTAAACTTTGAAACCAGAAAAACCTTTGAAAAAAAAATGGAGAAAGAGAGAGAAACTGGGTTAGATTTGATAAGAATCCTCTTGAACCTGAAGTTGGTGAGATATTTGAGGAAAATGTTCTAGATCAAATGGAATGTTGATATACGATGGACAAGCTCCTTTTGAATATTGTCATTTCCCTTTGTCTCTATAACTGAAATTTAGAATACCAGTATTGTTTCCTTTTCTCATATTTCACCCATTCATGTTCTCTTTTCCTCTAGTATGATAATGAGCATGATAATGAGCCAAACAAAATTTAAGCTGTTGGTTTATTGTCTTTGTCTAATACTTAGAGCATTCTTCTTCAGGTGACGCATGCCGATTTTAAGAAAGCTAAGGAGAAAGTGATGTTCAAAAAGAAAGAAGGGGTACCAGAAGGACTCTATATGTAGAACCTACCAATGCTGTCAGGCTGGAAGATGCTCCATTATCATTTGTATCAACTTTCTGAGCTTGAATTACTTGAAAGTCTGTTTAGAACTCTTCATAACGGAATGTGATCATTTTACATAATTTCAGTTATTACTCTCTTTTCTTTTATACAATTTTAATTTACTTGATAATTGGCTTTGGCACTAGTTATTACGATGGTCATGCAAGATTACGTTGCTAAAGCATTGTCACTGGGTCTTGAGAGAATTTGGGATGTGAATATTGGAAATCTCAGTAACTTTCAGGGCTTTATTTTGTAGGTACTCTCTGCTGTTCTAGCAGTAACATGGCTTTCCTCTATCGATAGAATATTATGTTCTTTCAACTAGGGTGCAAGCCGGTAGCCTACCTTCCTGACTTTCAAATAGCGTAAGCAAAGCATAAGAAGGTTGATTAACTTGAGCACTTCCTATTGTTACCAAAAAAGAGTAATGATTCTGTAATGCAAATAACTATCGAAGGCCAGATCAGTTGAGTTGAATCCAAAACAAGTTATAATTTGTATGCAATTTAATACGAAGACATTTTTATTGCCTGTACTAGTTTAACGAAAATGCGTCAAATTTGGATGCAAAATCAATGATCCATGGAGGATCTTCTGTACTAACTTTATAGACAGATCACCTCATCCTGCATTCAACCTATTTTTCAACAAAAACCCAAATGAAGGAGTCACTGATCAGGTACCGTACAGAACTATGATAAAGCTTGGGCCATTGTTGAACGCTGCGATAGCTGCTGCTCATAGAGGTCACGGAAAATACGATATTTGGCATCATGGTACTTCTTCACCTTTGGGTCTTTTGATGGATGTATGACCTGCATAATTTCAACAGTTTAAATCAAAAAGAGAGTAATACCTAGGTTATGTAATTAAACATGTGGATAAAACGTTGTCTGTAACCTATAGATATGCTAGATCATGGATGGAAACCTGGTAAGAAAAACTGTGCCCAAACAAGCTAACAAATTAGTGGCAAATTGCAGTTCTTGAGCCCAAAATAGCAGGACCAAAGATCTATGTGACAATCAGTTTCTGATCTTGTAAGTTGGCTTGGTCTAGATTCAACTACCATGAGTAAGGTTAACCCAAAAATGCATGCAAGTTCCTCCAAACAGGTTTGGCTATATTTTCCACCTCATCATCTTTCAAGAAACATAAAATAAGCCAACTATAAAACCAACAAGGAATGATATGCACACCTGACCAGCAGCATTGAGTGCCTTCATGGCCTCACTGAGGCTGGAATATTTCTTTGCAGCAACAGCACCAAGTATAGCGGCCCCTAAGAGGACAGACTCACTTTCGCGAGGAAGTATAATAGGGCAACCTGAAACAGCAATTAGAAAAATGGTTATCAAGGTGAATCAGATGGTGTCTTCAAATTGGTTCTGACTAAAGTATTCGTATAGATGCACTTAATGTCCTCTTTTGCAACTTCAAAATAATGATACCACTCAATTTTGATCACTTTCTTTCTCTATTTCCATGTATTTTCCAAGGTTGGAGCCCATAGTTGGATCAAACTCAAGTCCCATATGAACAATCCAAGATTGAACTTCTAAAAGACAACAGCAAATACAAGTTCTCCGAACAAGGAACCATAAGCTCTACACAGTACACCTTATAATTTTATTTTCCAAATTGTAAAATCTGGTTGTTTATTTGTTTTATAGCTAAAGCAATTTTGTTTTATAACTATTGTTTAAGTGGAATGGAGTCCAGATCTAATATTAACATAAACGATGTAGGATATGCATGCCTGAAAGGCTGAAACATAAACTTTAGTGTTCAAGACAAAGTGCAGAAAAAAGAACCAATGCCTCACAAGGAAATAATATATCCTACAAAAAGTTATTGAATCCTAAATGATGAGACAAAAAAATCCTATCAATGGATAGAGAGATAGGATTAGAAGTTGCAATAGAAGAGCATGAGCATGAGAATGCAAAAATATACATAGAAAGGAAGGTAATAAGAAAGGGATATACCAATTATATTTGCATGTTCTTGAATGAACAAGGGGTTTTTAGAAAGGCCACCACATGCAAGTAATGTGTCAATCTGAAAAAGAAGAAAAAGATAAAAGGAAGGTTTTCAGGAGTATGACATTACAAAGAATTACCAATTTCCTCAATAGCCAACAAATGCTAACATTGACTTATCAAAAAAAAAAAAGAGCTACGATTAAGACACAAGCAGCAGAAACATATTTCATAAAAAGTTAATGGTCAAATAAATCTGCACATCTAATCCAACTTACTAGTTCTTGCATATTGTTTTCTAAGTTGAATAGTTACGTGAACCTTATATACATCCTAGTATGTTTGGATTGAGGGGAATGGAGGGAGGAGAACTTTATTCTTCCATTCCCCTCCCCTCCCTTCACCTCATTTGGATAAGTAAATAAATTAAAGAAAAAAAAAATAAA